GCAGATATTTACGATTGAGCGTAGAGTACCGTTTTCTGGAGAGATCCGAGACGAACAGAACGCGCTAAAATGGGATACAACAGTTGAGTTATCCGGTCGTTAGATTAGAGTGGTGGTTCACTTCACGCCCAAGGTTAACAGTTTGTTGAGGTCACCGAGGCCGAACTGGCCAAAAAGTAGGTCACCGGTCATTAGGGTCAGCAGCATCTAGAATCATGGATCCGGTCAGTAAACACTGTGGAAAGAGGTTTGGAAGTGTTAGCATCCGTAGCTACTGAGGGCGAGCTAATAAGGTTGACCCTCCATGTGGGTAATTAATATCACCACCTGCTAGAGCACTGATTGGCTTTGCATGACAGTGCTCGCTCGAGAAAAGAGACGGCATGGAGATGAATTAGAGCGGACGTATCGACCGGGATTGGAATGTGACAGTTCGACCGTCGCTGATGACGGTGCGTCTCCTGTGTGCCCCACGACATGGTGGGTGCAGGAACAGCGATCCGCGCGCGAATTAGTGGCGACAACACCTACTAGACTCTCTCAGTCACCTGAGCCCGGTGTCAAAACAGAGTCAAAGAAACTGGAGGCGGGATCAGGTTTGGTGGCTGACAGAGCTAAACAGTTCACCTGCGCGTGTCTCACACGCCACGGAACACGGTGGGGCTTGGATCCAAACTGAGTGCGAGTGCCACAGAGGCCAATCTAGGAAGGAGCGGTTACAGGAGCCATTGCGCGACACGAAAGTTCGCAAGTCCCTAACACCATAGGGGCAAACTACCGCTGCCTTCCCGAGGCGGTCGCGATCCTAGACGATGTCGGTAAGCAAACTACCAACTATGGTCTACGGTATTCATTCCCACGAGTCGTGATCCCACTCGGGGACATGAGAAAACCGGAGGGGGAGGGGGGGGGAGAGGAGAGGAGGACGACGATGAACGCGGTATTAGGTCGACTTCTTCGAGGCATCTGGGATAAGCGTGAGACTACACAAATGATGAAAACAAAGGTATGCGAAACCTCCGTTACGAGGTGCGGAGAAATCTGGAAGACCTACTGACGAGCCGGATCTCTCGCAGTTGCGTCATGCAACGGCGCAAAATCGGCGAAACGCGTGCCCTGGGCTTTTAGCTACAGTCCTTGTGATGGCAGTATGGTAAAGTAATCTCAACGCGTAACAAGTCCCCGTCCAGATGGCTTGGTCGCGCACGATGTGGCCAACCCGGAGAGGCAATTATAGCGCCAGAACCATCTATCGGTAAGTGATTCCGTCAAGACTGCGACTTAGGGACATGAGTGAATGTGGCAAACGTTGACCTCGAACATGCTAAAGGCGCGTTCGAGGTCGACGGCGCACCCTGGCTGTTGTGCCACATCCTGCAACCGTGCCCGGACATCTGACACCGACTGCGCCGGGCCGTTACGGTGCGCGCGCGGCCGAATGCCGCCAATAACGAGGAAGCTGGAACTTCCGCTTTCCACGGAGCCTGGGTAGAGAAGTTTCCCGACAGCTGCCAGTGATTTGCTGGCTGCTGTAGGACAAAATTCGGTCCGTCGGGTACCGCAGAGTCCCCCCACCATCTCGCTCCAGATAGGAAACGAGATTAATTTTTAAGAAAACTTAAACAAAAAAACTAAGTTTTATTTAGAAGAGCAATATCGGTAGCGGGTGCAATTGACAGGCTGTCACCGATGCACAGGAGTAAGTACCCAGTAGGCCGACAAAAAGCTAAACGTAGGCATGGAAGAAGTTGGCTTTGCCAATTCCACAGCTCGCACCGTTTAGTTTTAGCTTTCTTGTGCGGGATGGTTTCACGCAGTAACTGCAAATCACCGAAGACTTTCGGGTGGGAAATATGATACGACAAGTAGTTGTCTTTCATCATCGAAAGTCTTTCGGTTGATCAAACCGTCTTCTCCTGAGAAAAGCAACAGGATGTTGAGGAAAGTAGTGTTGCACGTGAAATCCAGCGCTTCAAGATTATAATGGTGCGCTGTGTTGAGCACACGCCGATAAAACACGTTAAGCAGAAGCTGCCGTCAAAATCCTTAATTGATTCCCTCGATCGACGGATATCAGTCAGAAAGAACAAGGTCCAACATTTCAAAATATTACCTACTTCTTCGAGTCACGATAAATGTCCTCTCAGTAGCTAATAAGCGGGTTTAAGAGACGATAATTGAGACTGGCTGGTTGAGGAAGTGGTGATTTTTGGGAATATCGACCTCTCTCCTTTACTACACAGACACAATTCCAGGAGGCCACCGATTCCCATAGCCTATGGCTCACGTAATTAATAGGTCAACAGTTATCATCATCAGTTAGAAGAGAATTAATAGATTTCCGCAACACCGGGACTTGGACCCCCAAGGCATCAAATTAATGACGTAAGAAGAAGAAGAAGAAAATGATGATGATGATGATGATGATGATGGTGGTGGTGATGATGATGATGATGATGATGATGATGATGATGATGATGATGATGATGATGATGATGATGATGATGATGATGATGATGATGATGATGATGATGATGATGATGATGATGATGATGATGTCTTCGAGAGGGAGTCCGCTTGAATGCATACCAGCGTCAATCAAGGCAAGCCCGACCTCCCACAAATGTGCCTTCAAGCAATCGGTGGACAAACTGCCGGGAGCAAAGGC